AGAAGAAGAAGAAGAAGAAGAAGAAGAAGAAGAAGAAGAAGAAGAAGCCATCGTTAATGAGACTAAGAAAGAGAAGAGAAAGAGAGGAAGGAAAATGAAGGACTTAAGACCTAAAAAAGACCTAAGAAAGAGAAAAATGAGATGCAAAACCAATACAATGCCAGAAAGCAAAAGAAAAGAGGAATTCAACAGAGAGGGGAAGCCAAAAAGGCGAAGGTTAGGAGAGGGTGTGTGTGAAAAGACTAGTTGGGATAAGAAAGGAAGGGAAAAGGGGGGGGAAAGCCACAAAGGTATAAAACAAGATGGGAAAAAGAAATTTTTCTTTAGGGACAAAGGGTAATGTATAATTTATAAAATAAAAAAAGAAGGATCTGCAAAAGTACATAAGATAGTATTGTAGTATTTGTACTAGAAATAGAAAACTAGAATTTTATAAGAACTAACAAAATATTAAAATATCAAAATACTTAATAATGATAGACTTTATGATTTAATAAAACATTAAAGGGAATGTTTAAAATATAGAGTTTATTGGCTATTGCGTTAATGTTATTATAAATGTAGTATTGTAGCATTTGTTTTTGAAGGAGACAATTGGAATATTACAAGATTTAATAAATCAAAATATTACAATGTTCAGGATTTAATGATAGATCTTAACATTTAATATTATTGAGAATGTGTAAAATGCTTAAGATTTAATGATAGAGCTTAATTTGTTATTCCCTTAATGTTATTATAACTTTTTTCTATTCTCTCTTTTTTTATTTTTTATTTAGTTTAAAATGTACTATTTAAAATGTACTAAAAAAGTAGAATGGTAATTATGTACTTAATTATTTTATAGATTTATTATTCTCTTTTTTTTCTTTTCTTAAAATTTAATAGGTAGAATGTACTAAGCAGAATCAGATTGGGAACTAGGTATTATTTTAAATGTTAATCTAGGGGATAGAAAGGCATCATACTTCGATCAGTGATTCCAGGAGAAATCTTTTTTATATATATATTAGAGAGAATGAGATAAATGGATAATTGGAAAAGAATGGACAAAAGATACAAGTATAATGATTTAAAGTAAGATGAAATAAATAAAATAGAATTAAGAAGAGTGAAAAGCGGGGAGAAGTTATATAGAAGATATAGAATGGTTAATAAGATAAGTAATGGTATATAAGATGAGCATGAATTTAATTGAAGTCCATACAAAGAGAGGTATCCTGGGGCCAAGCCACTTTCCAAAAAGAAGTTTTATGTTTTTGTGTTTTGTGTGTTTATGTTTGATTAAGAATTAATAAAACCTTGGAGGAATGTTAGACGAGAATATTTGTAAACAAATCAGATGAAAATATCAATATGATGGATATAAAATAGATGAATATAGAAAAGAAATGTATTTGAATAAAAGTAAAGAGAAATAATGAATAAAGAGAGTAAAGAGAAATAATCTTTGCTAAAAGATATTTATGTGTTTATAAGGAAATGGGATAAATTAGAATTAT